GCACCAAAACATAATAGGGATTCATTTTTTTGTTTTAAGGACTAAAATTGGGCACCAAAACATAATAGGGACTCATTTTTTTGTTTTAAGGACTAAAATTGGGCACCAAAACATAATAGGGACTCAGTCTGGATACCCTTAAACAATGGAGGACCAAAAGTGGATTTTACCCTTAAATTATTAATGATCCAAAATTCCATTTGGAGACCTGTTGGACTATATACTAACTCATCAAGTGTATCAGTCTATCGGTTAATTGTGACAAAGATGAAAAAGAAAGGAAAAGAAAGTTCAATGAAGAAATAAAATAAAAATCATTTCTAGAAAAATATAATTGGACATGATTTAAGAGCCAATGAATGGAGAAGTTAAGGTGGGGGAGAGTGAATTGATTGGTGTACTGTGGAAACGATGAGTGCATGTGGCCGGCAGTCACCTGTCCATTATTTTCAGTATTTCCGTTTCGTTTTCGCCCATTTCATTGTCTAATGTCCACCACCAAAATCTTTCTTTAATTTTTTATTTTTTATTTTCAGAGCCATTAATTTATTCAATTCGAATATTACAAATCCTTCAATTAAAAATTGCACCATACCGATGAGGGCATAAATAAATTTCTTGTTTGTTATATTTAGGAGCAATCATACATTCAGAGTCGGGAAAAAAAGATAACACGCGTTCCGGTAAATTGAATCTGATGTATCCAGTCTCTTCAATATGCCTGATATGTTAAATAATTTGAAAAAAGTAAGGTTAATGTAAATATGTAATATTAAGTAATATTTTTCCTTCGTTTAATTTTGAAGGACTTTTGTCAAGATAAAATTAGAAATATATTTTTCATGGAATCCATTGCAAATATAAAAAACCATTTTTTAAATTGTTAAAGGTAACAAAAAACTACAATTTTTTTTTTTTTAGTTTTATTCGACTGCCACTTTTCTCTATAGCATTTGATTGGACAGTCAAATAATTCTTCATGAAATTATAAATTAGTAAATAAAATTTAATGCATTTGAATAAAATTTAACAATATTAATATATTTTTAGTGGGAGCAACTTGATCCAACAAATTAAAAGAAATCCAAGGATATAGGTAAGTTGAAGTGTTAGGTCCACAAATATATATGTGGAATTGCACTCCATTAAAGTGTGGGAGGTCACCAATGAAATAAGTCCACAAGGCCAAACAAAATTTGTAATTTTCTGTGGGGAATTTTGGATAGATTAGGATTTTGTTGTGACTTGTAGAATTCAAGTAGCAAGGCACCAGCTGGACGGACGAAATTTTTCCATAGTTAAGCGTCATATGGTGCTATATTTTTTTAAGATAAATTTGTTTTACACCTGGATATCTGAGAGATATGGTCAATTAACAATCTAAATTTTTTATCTCCAAATATGCAAAAGTTATTCGAATAGTTCGCATAACTGTTACGTACATATTCATATTAAAAAGTGCGAAGGGTTATGTGAATGTCTTCGCATTTTTTTTTTCACGCAATGTTATTTGCCCAATTATCGCATCATGCTTTTGTGCTTTTTAAAGTGAAAAAGTAAACTTATAATTCAACGGTGTGAAGAACTAATTATACGTTTGTAAATAACTATTAACTCATAAAGATAAGAGCATAAATGGGTCTGGCATAAATATCAACTTTACAAAAGCGAGAAATAATAATTGTAATTAATAGAATTATTGGAAATATTAATTCATGTTCTTATGTGATGATGAATAAGTTGTATAGAAATGAAAAGAAAATAAACCAGGAAGAAGGTAGGGTTGATATTTGGTGAAATTTGGGTTTGTGGGATAGTGATATTGATGGAGTGTGTGTTTGTGTGAGATTGTGGCTGTGCGCAGAGAAGAAAATTCTTCAGAAACTTATTGAAACATAAACACCAACTCTTAGGATTGTGTTTGTTCTGTGCATTTGTGTGCATTGTGGTTTTTTTCTCGATCTTTCGAAGTGTGTATTCTCTCATTTAGGAGTGTACCGTTTGTGTTATTTGAAGTATTTAGGCTACCTTGGATAGGTCTCTGATCTAAATTCAGTTGTCAGTTGGTTCATTCAGTTAGTTAGTCGTTTGAAATTATATGTTATTAATGAACTATCTCATTCTGANCAGATGCCCCATGAACAATAAAAAAGTTCATAATATTGTAATTTTACTAATGAATAATGACCAAAACATTACATTTATACAATGTGATAGGTCCATTATATAATATATGTTGAATATAATATTCCTTATAATATTTTATTTAAAGGAAATATTTATTTACACCTCATTCTGAAGAATAAATAAGTTTTTCATGCTGTTGGATTATAAGTTAATTTTTTCACTCCAAAAAGTGTGAAAACATTATGCGATAATTATGCGACAATAGTGCGAAAGTTAAAAATGTGAATACATTCTCATAACCCTCTGCACTTTCTAATGTGAATATGCGACTGACATGCAACAGTCATGCAAATCATTCGAATAACTTTTGCATTTTTCAGGGTGAAAAAAGATTGTTAGATGGCGGAGAGAAAAAATTAACGTATCTCTCAGGTTGCGATGTAAAAGAAACTTCTTTTATTATAGAATATTGTTGTTGATAATGGAATCTATATATATATATATATATATATATATATCTATAATTGCTAGCTTAGCAATAAATTTTACTTAATAAACAAAACCTATTTAATTTTACCTAGGTGGCACTAACCATTTCCCTTCGAAAACCGTTACCTCTGATTTATATAACCTTTCATAATCAACACACTAATCACTTCAAAATTATAACAATCATTTTAATTTTTATTTAACCTTTCATAATCAGCACTCTAATCACTTCAAAAATATAAAAATCATTATAACTTTTGACCACTAATAGGACCGCATAATGTGATTAGATTTTAATTTTTTGCTACATTTCAATTTAACTTTTTTTGGAAAATAAAAAAACATATTTTATATTTCTAAATAAATAATAAAACAATTCAAAAAAATAATATACATATCAAAATATACATTACATCCAATCTAACAAACACATTTAAAAAAAAATATTTCAGCTCCTTTAATTGTAAATTTTGCGTGCAAAACAGAGAAAGAAAAATCAATAATCATTATATATTTTATATTTTCAAGTTTTTGATATTCCAAAATTTATATATATATATATATATATATATATATATATATATATATATAAGGATTGGTTCAAATAAAAATTAGTCTTGGTGTGAGAACCGTGAGAACCATATTTCGTGCTATTTTTAATTGTGTATAATGTTATTTTTAGTCTCACATGGTGCTATCATTTTTACAAATGCTAACATAAATTGTCTTGCTATTTTTAATAAAATACATCCTGATTATAAATAGCACTAAAATACAATCAATCATAGCACTACATACAATTAAAAATAGCGGTTCTCACGGTTCTCACGCTAGGACTTAGTTCTCATTTGATGCTATTTTTAACCAAGATGAATTTTATTAAAAATAGCAACACAATTTATATTAGCATTTTGTAAAAATGATAGCATCATGTAATATTAAAAATAGAATCATATACAATTAAAAATAGCATCAAATATGGTTCTCACGGTTCTTACACCAGGACTAGTTTTTACCTATGTAACAAATCATTAAATAAAACCTAATAAATTGACATTAATCCACCCTATCCCATTAATGATAAAGTATTTTATTAGATTTTTTGGATTAATTAAGACAAAAATTGTTATAATTTATATTAATTGAACATTAATTATATTTTTTTTATTAAATCATATAATAGTTATTATTGAAATTAATGATTATATTTTACACTAAATGAAATATGAAAGTTATAAAACCATAAAAGATTATAATTGCAAAAACTTTTTATTCAAGTTATTTATTCTAAAATCAATAATATATTTTTTTATCTGATTAAGCGATTGTTTTAATTAAATTAATTTTTTTAATGTCATAATAAAATTTCTATCGCATAAGAAATTGTTATAATTATAAAGTTAATATTTTTCAGCTAATTAAGTGGCCATGATTCCTCAACATTGTAAAAATTACTTTATTAATTATATTTTATGAAATCAATATAATGATTTGTATGCAATCAAATCTTTATGTACTATTTATTTATTATTATTGACATTGTTATTTTCAATCTTATTATTATTATTATTATTATTATTATTATTATTATTATTATTATTATTATTATTATTATTAGTTCCTGCATATTAGTTAAGATTACCCGAGACTTGATCGGGAAAAAAAAGAATATTGGCCGTGAATCGTGATGTTCATATTTTTTCAATCGTGACTTATGGACACCTGTATATAACCACCGTTATAGGTTGGCTTTTAGCCCTAAGATACCTCCGTAGGTCGGCTCCATACTACATGATGTCTTTGTCATGCTGTGTCGAGCTCCAAACTTCTATCAGCCGAGCCAAACACTGTCCGAGCTACTTATATGCCGAACTACTAATACTTTCGAGCCTCATGGAAGCCGAGCTACTCCTGTGCTGATCTACAAGTACTAATGTCTTTGACCTAGCTACTTGTGTGTCGAGCTATCAAATATTAGCGACCTGCTTCTAAACCAGCCAACCTAGCTAACTCAAGTTCATCATCCGAGCTAGCCTTGACCAGTTTTATCGAGCTACCTTTATGTGCTATATCATCTAGTCCCCCCATTATCAAACGAGTTATGACTTTTCGATCTAAATATACTTGTTTGGTAATTACAATAATAATAATAGCACGATTGCCGACCCGCCTTGGTGGTACTTTATCCTACCTACACTCGAAGAGACGTATCTCGTACGTGTGCTTGTCTTTTCATCTGTCCAATGTATTAAACCCCTCAGATTCTGCACTTAGGGTTTATTTCCCTAACCCTTATTTCTTCTTTGATCGGACGACCTTTTTCCTTTGCTATAAATAATCCTCTTCCTCTTTATTTACATGTTTACGCCTCCAAATTTTTAAACATGATTTTAGCAAAAACTGTTCTGAAATTACCGGAGACTTTCTCCCATTCTCCGGCGCTCACGTGCTATCTTCCCTGCGACTACCTCGTTTATCATGGGTAAGCCTTCTATTTTTTTTTTCAATTTTTCTGTATGTTCATTCGCATTGTTTCTTTTTCTTTTCTTTTCCCGTATTTGCATTTTCCGGCTGCAGCTCTCACTTGTATATGTGTATGTATGTTGTTTT